CAATCCAGGATCATTCCCATCTCAGGGCCTTGACTTAATCCCACCTGTAAAGTTCCTTTACCATGTGAGGCAACATGTCCACAGGCTCTGGGACCAGGACCTGTCATCCTGTGGCATGTCCATGTTGCCCTCTCTCCCCTGGCCCCTAGCTCCCCGTCTCCTTGCTGCCTCAGCACTCCAATGGTTCCCATGACTGAGTCTTTGATAGGCTGTATCCTGGCCCAGAATGCTCTTCCCAGACCTGGTGACCACATAGCTGAACCCTTCAGTCTCTAGTCCAGGAGGTGCCTTGTTGGGGACTCCTTGCTTCCTGGCTCATGACTGGACACCTACAGCCCCTGCTCAGCTCAGTGTTCACCCACCTCAGACTGACAAGGGCCAGGCTGCATGTGTGGGGTTCCTGCAGCGTCCCCAGAGCCCTGTATACAGAAGGCACTCAATGCTTGTGAAATGAATGAGTGACCAGACATGGTTTGGCCATAGCCTAGGCCTCCTCCAGCCTCTGGTCCCTGGCCACCTGCCCAGGTGCCTTCTGGAATCTCATCTAGCTGTTCCTCAGAGCCCCTCTGGGCCTCAGGAGACCATGACGGGCAGGAAATGAGTGGATAGGTGGTGCCGCCGGGTCCGGCCACCACGTCTTGGGACCCCCCGCCTGTCCAGCGCCAGGTACATGGGCCGGCCGCGGTGACGCCAGTGAAGTGAGGCGTAGGTGTTGTAGCCGTTCTCCTCAATGCGCTCCTGGAACCTACAGTGAGCAGTGTAGACCCGCTGCGGGGGGTCGGGCACATGAGGCCACTGGACCCCAGTTTCCTGCCAGTACCTGCCCACCACTGGCCACCCCCACCATGCACTCACCGACCCATAGAGGTGGCCCTGGTGGCTCATGGCCACGAAGAAGCCGGTGTGCACAGCCTTGAGGACCACGACGCCCACGCGGATGGAGCGGATCTCAATGATGCCTGCTGGGAAGGGCTCAGTCAGGGCCCTCAGCCATGTGCTCTCTCTCTCTCTCTCTCTCTCTCTCTC